AAAGACGAATTCGTGCACGAACAACACATCCCAAAAATCCGGAAGAATTGATGGATGCACTCGTGGAGGAATGGAATGAAATCGGACCGAAAATTTTAAAAAATTTGGTTGAAAGTATGTCGAGGAGAGTGCAAGTTGTGATTAATGCAAATGGGTATCCAACCCGATATTAAATATATGTATGAATAGCCCTACTTTTGCTGAAAGAGAAGTTGAATTAAATTCGTGATCTACATTGTTGATCATTTCCCGATTCCAAACTTTTGTCCGTTGAGTAAACATAAACTTGTTTCATGTATAGATTAACAAAATTTGTGTTAGAGACGAACCCCGCTTTACGTATTAATGTTTATTACATGTATCTACCTTTTTTTATACATGTTCTATTTTTGCCGTCGCAACGAAAAATCTCGTGTCCGAGCTATTTGTAATATAAGGCTGTTCTCTTTTACATGTATTCGGCAAATTAAATCTTAACTAATAAGATTTCTCAGAAATATAAATTCAATCTTTCTTTCCAATCTAAATTACATATTTTTATTTTCGTCAGCATGTGTTTATTTACAATGTACATATATTTACTATGAAATAAATGTAATATGGAATCATTACAAAGAGGTTGATTTGTCATTGCCATTTTAATTCTCTTTGACGTAACCGTAATAGGAACAACAAATGCATATATGGAGAATAGAAAGCATTACATGTATTGGACTTTTGCAGGTCGCTTAACTACTCCTTTATGTCTATACTGTCTCAGACAACATTGTTACAAACTTAAATAATTTCAAGTACAATTAAATTTGATGTATACATGTATACATGCTCATTATATAAGAGTGCGAAAGTTCAATAACAACAAAAAATATTGTTATCCTTATATGACATTGTTAGAGCAAAATTTGACTGTAACTAATTAAACCAGAATCAGAACTGACTGTCCTATAACGCCTCGTTTTAAATTATTGCAAAAACACGGATTTTAATTTCTAAAGACTAGTCGGCTTTCGTTAGCTATACAAGTATCTAAAAAGCAAAATGGAAGATAGAACCTGAAAGTAAAGAAAAGACCAAATTTAAAGAAAGATGGGAACAGAACCTGAAGTAACCGTAAAATTTTTAACGAATTGATTATTTTACTTAATATAAAGACCAATTTAGTGAGCGAATTAAAGTACATTATGAAGTTTTGCTGGCTTTCCATGAAGATGGCGATTAATATCATCACTATTTCCTCTAGCGCACACAATGCATACATCAATGGTAAAAGAATCGATACGAAAATTTACACCATTGAATTATTCTTAATTTGTCTTTTTTGCTTGCTCTTCTCAGTTTATGTATACCTGACAAAAAACGAGGGGATGGCGTCCAGTTATATACCACCTTCAACGCGATGAATGCAATTTCGGGCTTTTCATTATTCATGAACGTCACCTTGCTGAACTTGGATCGTTCAATTTATCAGCTTAAAGTTGGAAATCTTTGAGGAAGGTGAAGTCGACATCAGAGGCTTATATGATCTTTATATTAAACCTTTTATTCTTAATACTTATTATTCCACCTGCTATTGTAGCGCTCTTTCTCAAATGCCAACAAGTCGCTCTGACGTTAGGACCAATTTATCAGAATTTCGACAACTTGTTTCACGACGATCATCTCGAAATCGCGAAAAGCGTCATCAGTATTGCAAGATTTACACTCAACATAGCTTACATGGCACAGCTTCCAAGTTTGGTTATGTGGCTCGATCAAACATTATATAAATAGTGACAATTTCTGCGACCTATTGTTAGAACGGAAAGGAAAATGGTACGCGATAAAAGCATTCCTTAAATATGATAGTAATTTACCGCTTTTGGATATTTTAGAAGCGACATGTTAATGATCAGACAATATGATGGGCAAAATTTCTGGAAAGTGTATAGTAATATATAGCCATGATTTATAGTTTAACCTTACAATTTTTAGATGGGTAAACTTTTTCCAACAATTTTGATAGCATATGAGGATTTCTCTAATTAGTTAATTAAATTTTATATACTATATATTCTTATATTGTTTCTATATTTGATTTTTTTCTCTTATTATAATTTACAGTATTTTTTCTTATAAATGAGAAATATTTGTTCTAAATGAATTAGAAAACAGATTTTCAACAATAAATATGAAAAATACCAAACTGAGTACTTTTATCAATGTTGTATTTAACAACTTCGCTTATAAAAATACTTTCACTAACCATATTACATAACTCCTTAAAGTTACCTTTTCCACTACTTACAGCATCATTGAAGATAATATTGTACCTTTTTCGATGATAAATACATATTAAATAAATTGTCACACATAATTCATTAAGGTCCTAAAGGTTTCTTATATCAATCTTCACAGAAATTTTCTAAGAGCAAAGATAGATAAAGTACATATATAATTCAAAAGTAATAATAAATTTATTTATTGTATCTCGCAACATTGCTGGTGCTGTGATTTTATAAGGTAAACCAATCAAATTGCAAGTTCAATTTGTAATGAATCAAACTTAAATAAATCCCTTGTGAAATTTACTAAACTGTCTGTCTTTACTAACATGCGCGATACTTAACTCCGACCCTAAATGTTAATATTTCATATCATGCGATTTGATTGGTTTACCTCTTAAAGTCATTTAGATAATATTATTATGGTAATGCTAATTTCATTAATTCCATGATTTGTCTTGAGAAACTGGATTTTGCAAATTGATTAATCACATCTTCTATCTGTAATTATATCTCTTATTCTATCTTGTTTTATATCATTATTTATATCTTTAACTCTCTTTATTCTATATTGACTTTATTTTATATCTTAATATCTATTCATCATTCTATCTTTTGTTTTATCTGTCTTTCCTATATTTTCTTCTATCCTAAATAATGCCTTCAATTATATCAAGGATCATGTTGCCATATATTATCAAAAATTTATACTAGATAGGCTCAAAAACCCTAATAAAAATCAAAATATTTTGTGTACAAATTCTTTTCCAAGTAATATTGCTTGTAAAATTCTCATTATAACTGTTGTGATTGTTGATAGTTAGGTTTTTTGATTCAGAAAAGCTATTGGAATTGTATAATTATTAAATAAGATTTATAAGCTTTTGACTAGAATTAAAATAATTTATTATAGAACAAAATACTTCTTTGTTAAAGAGCAGTTGCTCTTTCTTCATTATCAAAAATTAAATCTTAGATGAACTTAAACTATCTGATATATACTTGTCAAATACATATAGAATCATTAATAAATTCGAATTTACACAAATCTTTAAGAAACAATATACATATTTACAGCAAAAGTCTAATTGAACTGTAACATATATTTTCTTAGAAATGCTCGTATATTTAAAAATCAACAGTTACTTGATGTAGTATTAAAATCATAAATAAAAATTTATTATAATGAAAAATAGTATCATTAATTTAAAAATTCAGATTAGCATTTTGACCAAATAAGAACATACACATAGTCATTACTTTTACACAATTCAATATAATGGTCTTTTACTTTCAAGAGCATGATAAAGAATTTAAGCTAAAGAGATATCTTATCATGTATAATAAATAAGAATGTATAATAATATGTCATAGAAACTTTTGAATCTGAATAGTTAATAAATTAATTCAATATTTCATCAAATTTAAAAAAGAAAAAAATATAATTTGAGCTTAAACTGTATATAAATAGTCAGACTTCTTTAAAAAACAATATGAATAATTATATTATAATGATATATTAAGATATTTTATTAGCTTTTTCTATATTTTTGATAATTTCTACTATATATCTAAAAGTTTTATTAGCAGATATTTATATTCATTTTCAGATTTCAGATTTAAGTTCTCATCTAAGATTCAGATTTTATATTCTTTAGAATATTCATTTTTAGGATCTAGTTTACAAAGCAAATTGATAAATTTATCTATATCTTCTTTTACAGTATTTATTTGTTATAAGATTTTAATTTTATCTTGTTACTAATTTATTCTATTTCTGATTTAAAAATAAATAATAAATTAATGACTGAAACTGTGTATCAGATTATTATTATCATCTTAAACTATTAATTAAGTGATATTATCTTTATTTTTTCATCATATCAAAGAATAATAATATCTTTTAGATATTCTTAAACAAGTTATACTTTTCTAATATTAGTAATTTTATTGATTTGAGTAGTAATATTAAAGTTTCTAAGCTATTTAGTAAGCTCATAATTATTTTCTTAATATTTCTAATTGAAATAATAATTTTCTCTATAAATCAATTATTTTATTTAGCTATTTTATTAGTTAGATTTCTAAGAGCTATAAATAAATTTTCAAGATTAGCTATTTGATTATTATCTTCTTCTTCATTTTCTTCAATATTTTTTTCTAATTTAATATTAGATATAATTTATATAAAAGAGATTAATAAGTCTTCTAAGTTTTAGTTTCAAAATAATATTCATCAATTTTACTATTATTAAAAAAATTTTTTGAGTAGATTTGTAATGAAAAGTTTTGATAAGTAAATTATTTGAAGAATTATTTTATAAAATCAAGATATTTTTCTTGAGTATTTATATAATTAAACAATAAGATATTTAATTATTAAATTATTTTTTATCTAAGTTAGATAAAACATATTTCTCTAAAATAAATTTGAGTTAATTTATTAAATAATAAATATATAATTTGATTTAAAGATATTACTTTAATATTTTTTGTAACAATTTTAATTGGATTATCTTTTTTTAGATCTCTTTTAGCTTAAATCTTTATTTTGCACTATCTGTATAACAGATTAGCTTTGTATTACATTTTTAAGAAAATTATTTTCACTCTGGATATACAAATGATCATTATGTATTTAATATATTTAGATTTAGTACATTATTACTTAAATAATCACTATATATATTATAATTATTAATTTAGATTATTAATATTTTTAATTAATTATTTCTTTATAATTTTATTCATTTTTCTTATTATTCATTTATATTATTATTTATTATTATTTATAATTATCATTCTATTCAATCCATATATATTTTATTTATAGATCATTATTAATTTATTCATATTTTATATTCATTTTTTTCTTATAAATATAACCTGTTTGTTCTGTATTTTTAACTTCAGATCTGAATACTTTTAAATAATAAAAATAATTATAAGTTATAAAATTAAAACTATTCATATTATATTTTATCTTGTTTATAATCATTAACAAAATAATCTTACATTTTTAATTAAAATATATTCTTGAAAAAAATAATAGAAGAGATAAAAATATTATAATAAAATTTTGATATTATTAAGATCAGAATTTTTATGAATATCTAAATAATAATTTATAAATAATCTAATAAAAAAATAATAATTAGTTATAAAAATTCAAGATATAATTATTTATTAATTATTTGAATAATAAATTATAAAGAAATATAAAGAAATTTATAATAATATATATAGAAAAGAGATGTGAAATTTAAATTTTATAAAAAGAGAATTAAAAATATATTACAGCAATTTTAAATAATAAATTTTATTGAGAATTACTATAAAATATAAAGAATTAGAAGAGAAATAATTAAAATAATTAAAATAAAAAAATATAAATATTAGCAAAAATTTCTAAAATTTATATTAATATTTATAAATATAATTATAAAAAAGAACTAAATATAAAAGTAATAAAAAATAGGCAAAATTATAATAAAAAAGAATAAAATAAATCAAAAAATTTATATTAATTAATAAGTAAAATTACTATTAATTAAAGAAATCTATACTAAAATATAAAAAACTAATACTAATTAAAATATAATTAAATAATTAATTAAAAATCAAAATTATAAAAATAAAAATTCAAATCAAAATATATATATATCAAAATTAAAAATATTAAAATCAAAATTTAAATTAAATTAATATAATATTATAATAAAAATTCAAAATTAATTTTATATAATTAAAAAAATAAAACTAAATAAGAGAAATAATATTAATATTGTTACAGTGAATTGGTAAGTGGGTTTTCACTTTGATTCACCCTAACGATATAGGGTTGGGAGAGACTGAAATAAAAAAAGGTAAAGAGAGGGGAATTAGACTATAACTTTCAATAATAAAAAGGTTTCTAAGACCTGTGCCAATATCTATGAATACTATCTCAATAAAGGATAATAAAATAAAGAAAGAATAAAATAAATCAAAGAAATTATAAAGATTGACTAAGTGAAGTCACTAGTAATCGATAT